GTTTTTCCTGGCTGGCCCTGATGCTTTTCAAAATTTTCATATTATATAATTATAATATATGCAGCAGTGTTTGCAAATTTGATGGTTTTTATTTCGTCATACAAAGTACTGTATGTATATATTGATTTATTGTTTTGTGGAGACTGTCATAAAAATACGGCGTCCAGCGCACGCTCGGCTGGCTGTCATGCATAGCATGTTGTTTTTCATGTTGGTATAAAAGTAATGGAGTGAATACGAGGTGTAGTTTTTCAGCTGATTATTACTTAATGACATTCAAAAAATCAATAATTAACATGATATGATTTGTACAAATATTTACAATTTTGATTTCAGATACTTCAAGAATCTAATAAATATTCTGCGAAACATTAAAGATCACTGTTTACTAAGTCTAAAATTGTTTATTGGAAAACTCTGAAATTGCAAAGGACTGAGTTTTAATTTTATTGGTCTCAATGGCCTGATATTTATGGCTCCAACAGGTCATTGATCTGACATATTTTTTGTACAAAAATAATTATCTTCATTTGCATTTTATTTTGAACATCATTTACTTTCTTATTGGAAGCATAACATATATTCCCTAACTGTGATTACTAGTGGTAGGGTGTCCTTAGCTAGCATTGCATGGTGTATTAAAACATTCTTGTTCTATAATCAATATCATGTATGCTCTAACAGTAATAGCTGAAACCAGTATCGTAATTTAGTTTGTTAAACAAGATTGAATCTCCTTTAAAGTCAGTATTTCGTAAATTCTATTGCTGTTGTAATGGCCTTGTTAGTTAATATAACCAATCACTTGGTCATATTTTGGCTGATGTGTTTCATACCAATTGTTAATGGACTTTGTTCTGTGCTGAATTTGAATGCGGAATTTTCCATCCACCTGACCAATACATAGGGCTTGAGGCAGATTTAACAGTCAGTAGGGGATGTTTTCTCTTAGGCACTTGATCCTTCCCACAGAAATTCAGGGGGTCCTTGTTTTATTCCCTGTTCACATATGTATTGTTATAGATCTATTTCAGATTTATTGATCACTTTGTTTTCTCTACTTTTTCTAATTTGGGTAACTTGATATATGCCAATAAATAGGGAATAATAGTTCCAATAATTAAGTCTGGTGCAGTTTTCTTTTAATTGGGATATAAAAATGTTTAAAATATGTTATCTGATTATTGTTTATGTATTATGTGTATATTCATACGCCTTCTGCATGTATAGATATACATGTGTGTATGATCTACTTACTACAAACTGCCTTTGATATGCCCATATTACATGTACTTCATACCATTCAGTTATCACATATTCATGTCATATGGGATTATGCATGTATATAGAGACAAGACAAAAATAAAATAAGTGCTAGTGACAATTTTTCTTTTCGTTTAAAACAATTATTAATATAAAGAATAAAGGAAAATAGGTGGTGGCGGGAAGTAGGTTTCTTAAAGGTGGCTTGAGTGAACATACTCAGTAGAACCTAGTTGTGCATCTTCTTCAAATTGTTAATTTTTATCTTTTTCTTACATATAATAAGATTGTAAACAACCAAATACTCTTCTATTTGGAAGAAAGTGAAATAAAAAAAAAGCCAATAAATATTTTCACATGACTGTTAATGCATGTATAATGTATACTATTCAGCCTTTCAAAAAAAAAAAAAGAAAAGAAAAAAATTGGTACATTCTGAATGTTCCTTTACATCCGAGAGACATTTCTTTATTATCACTTAAGGGTCATCACATCAACTTGAGGCATAATGGGGGTTTAGGTTCCAATATTTTGACAGGGAATCATTATACCGATCATGATAGGTATTGACTTGGGCATGGCTATTTCTGCCGCTCTCACCCCCACCAATATGGTGGTGGAGTTCCCAACCACAAAATTTGTGGTGGGGAACTTGTGGCGTAAACGAGCGGCACTAAGTAAATATCCTTATATGCAGTGATGTAACTCATGAAAGTTTTAAAGTAAACTTTGGATTTAGATACATATAAATAAGTGCTTGACCTCTGCACCTCCCAGGGTCAAGGATTTACCTTGTGAGATAGTGTTTTGTGAACTTTGACCTTTGAACTATGAACTTTGAACCTGAGTTTGAATATTTAATTAAGAAATCTTTGCTTTGTTGTTTTGCCAGAGACACCAATAGTTTTTGACAATTTGTGTCTCTGGATATACAGCCGTGCCCAATTTTCGCCACAATAAAATTTATATAAATATATGCTTTGTGTTTTTATATACACTTATCAGAGATAATACTGTTGTATTGCATAATGCAAACATTAAACAAATGAAATATATTTTCAACATTTAAACTCTTAGTCCATCAAAAATTATTGACCTGTTCTCAGAGACTATTGCATAGATTTGTCTGAAAATTTATACACTCATTATTCATCATATTAAGGTGTGCACCTGCTATTTTCATCATTATTGGGTAATTTTTCTGCATTTTACAGGGTTTTTTTCCCCATTTTTATTGACTTTGTCATTTTGGGTTTTTATAGATTTGAGACATAGAAACTAGAACTGCAAGTTGGTACATGTACATCTGTACAAAAATGTGTACTGCAGCTTAAAACTACACATTAAAACTAAATATAAAATCACCAAGTATTAAAAAAAGTTTTTTGATAGAACAGTAGTCCCTACAAATCCAAGAGTCATGCAGTAACCTTATTAAAAATGTTGCATCAAGATTACACAGTTCTTTTTTTTTCATTATATAATGCTTTGTAACAAATTAAACAAAAAAAATCTCTGTTTTCAATAGAATGACATAGATATGCCTTTTCTATTGTACACAGTGCATTACAAAGCAGTTAGCGTAAATCCATTTGTCCCTTTGGAGTAATGAGTGGACATGCATCTAGTTAAAGATTAATTAACGAGTTCAGTGTGGGAAGCTTTATGGCATCTCTGATCAAGCAGGTGTTATTATCTCCTGGGAATTTTGCAGGAGAATTAAAAATCTCTAACTATCTTAATTGTAATCCATAGTCTGTCAAAATACATATTTACTGGACGTCCAGCCTTTTATTTTTAAAATGACTTTGATGAAATATATGGAGATAACGAACAGTATTCAAGCTCAAAAGTCCATTAAACATTACAAAATAGGAGCAGAGCAAACACAGACCTCTAAAACATCAGAGGTGGGATCAGGTGCCATGGAGGAGTGAGCATCCCCTGCCAACCGTAAATTATCAAGATTAATTTGATTTTGTATAATTAAATATGATATTTTAAATTCTTTTCAACAATCAATTTGCAGTGTGTCATGCATCACAACGATCACAGATAGTTGCAATGTAATTAAAAAAACAATGTTGCTATTAGTATTGATGTTTTACTAGGATGTTCTTTGTCCAAAATAGAGATGTTTAATGGTATAGTCCGTTGCCCTAGTGCCCACATGAAATTAATCCTTCAAATGATCTTAAACTATATTTTGATAAAAACATCAATAACATGCAATTCTGACATGTATTATTATGTTCTGACAATTTATTTTTTGCTCGTATTGTGAATTTATATGACTTTTTTTTGTTTTGTTAAATTTCACAGGATTTTTGTATAAATTGATTTTTTAATATCCAAATGAAAGGACTTTGATGTAAAGTCATCAAGATTAATTTCATTTTATATAATTAACTATGATATTTTAATTTTTTTAAACACATAAGTGAACTCAAAGATGATAATTTTAACAAATATTTACTGTTACAAGCAACTTTTCCCCATGGTCTCTCATTAAATGAAAAATACTTTATGTATAGTCCGTAGCCCAAGGTTTCAAAATAGTCAATCAAAAATATCTGACACAGTTTTTCTGCGAATACTACCAAATAAGTTTGATATTTTCATCCCAATATACAGTATCTTTAAAAAAAATTGGACAGTATCTTTAAAAAAAATTGGAAGTACTTTAATGTATGTCCAAATATTAAGAGTAGAAAAACTCTTATATATCAACAAATTTACCCATGTCCTTTATATACTGTATCATTTTAATAGAAATGAGTTATGCAATTTCTTTTTTGGCTCAGACAATATTTGTTTATGTTTTTATATTTGAATCATACTTTCAATCTTCTTCTGTTGATTATGTTTAATATATATGTTATGCCTGAATATGTATAGTCCGTTGCCCCCTTAGGACGCAACTATAGTAAGAGTGAAAACTTTTTAACGGCATGACAGAAATGGAAGAAATTTCAGACAATATACTAAAAGGATGTAGTGTTACATACTTGTTGAACATACTTATAGAACATACTTGCATTACAATTCATTTAACTTTATTTTTTTTATTTTCATTTATTATTATTTTTTTGTGTATGTGTGAACCTGCAAACAACATGGGCACCTGATCTTGGCCAAGCCGTTGTGTGATCATAATTTAAATATATTTGTTCATGCAATTAACTTATCGACAATAAAAAAAGCCCGATAATTACATTTATTTTATCTTTTAAAACACTGTCTTTATTAGAAAGTATTTTACTTAAATAATATTATATTATAAAATGTATCAAATATTGAAAAAACATGCATATGGGGATTTTCATTTGGTCAGGTCATTAAAGTTTTATGAAGAGGATGCATAAATATAAATTCGGTAAAGATGTTTCTAAAGCCTTTAATACAAAGTATTTTACATTATAAACAAGAATATATCTTTAAAGTATGCATTTTAACCTTAAAATGCTCATAAAGAATTTATGTTGGACAGGTCAGTCAGGTCTTTAGTAGGTCTGGTCTTTAGTATCTTCAAATGAACATAAAGACAGCAGTGGAGTTCCATACCTTTTTAGGCTGATATCCTTGGCTGATCTTCAATGTATTTAGATTCCGGAAGTTAGTAAAATAAAAACTAGGTAATTCTTTATAAATACTATTACAGAAAGTTAATCAGAATATGTTGTTAATTTTATATTGCTTATATGTGGTTTAAATTAGGAATATATTTCAAAGATACTTCAAATAGATGTCTGATTTATCGGATGTACCTGTCAGGTATTTGAGGATGTCGTATAAGTAAATACATGAGCGACAAGGAACCAAGAACCTTTACCCTTAGCTAAATGTGGCTAATTGGACAAACTTGTAAGTATGAAAGGTGCAGGTATGAGTGATACAGTATATAGTGTAATATATTCGTGCACTGTGCACTATTCTCGAAAAAAAAACCCCCAAATATTCAAAGTATATTTGCTTAAATATCTTATATATTTATATGTTAGGGATTTACAATATCATATTTTAAACAGTTGACCAAAGGTCAAGGATCATTAGGGTTGTAACAAGGGTAATTTACAAAAGCCATAGTGCTAATTTATATGCAAAATATCAGACCCATGCCTCTTACAATTCTCGAGATGTAAGGTGTGACAGAAGGACAGACAAACGCCATATTAAATGATCCCTACAATATGTAAGTGTCTCTCCTGCCTTGCATGCGACAAAACAAGGTTTTTTCTCTCTCAATGAACGGTCAAAACTTTATTTTAGCATCATTTTGTATCTTTATTTGACAACTTTACTATATGGAGCATATTTAAAAAAAAAAAAAACAATATTCCCTACAAATTGAGAAAAATAGAGGAAATTCGGACTGGTCAGTATCTATTTTAATTAAATTTGTTTATGTAAGTTTGGTAGTTTCTTCTTAGACTCTATATACGCTGTAGTAACAAAATGAGTGCATCAAAAGAGCTTTTAATTTTAACATTAGATTTTCCATCTATTGAAGAAATTCCTATCTATTTGAAACTACATTGTATATGGAACTTGTTTGGAAAATTCTGTTGAACATTATTATATTTCTTTGACTTATTTTATCTTTTTCAGGGAAAGCACAATAGTGTTAATTTCAAGTAATGGAATTGGCACGTGATAACGTAACGTTATTTAAAGGATCGTTAATTCAATGCAATAACAGCTTTCCACGACAAAAACTCAAAAAGGTAAGACTTGAAGTGTTTTAAAAAGTGCAAAAGCTTTAGACTCATTTTTAAAGGAAAAGATGAAATTTGTTCTTAAGGATGACGTTTACTCGGATGACTGAAAAAAAAAAATGAAACATCACCTATTGTACATTGTAGACCTATGATTGTAGTGTTACTATTCACTTTCAAATAATTAGGTCAATGACCTTATTTTCATGCTAGTGGTTCCTGAGTATTTTCACTGAGGAAAATACCTCCATTTTTCACACTATGACGATAGTTTTTTATTCAATAGAATATTACAGGTAACAAAATTCTTTAGATAATGATTTGTTTAGGAACGGAATATTTTTGCTACATATAAATAAGCAATTAGAGTTTGAACGATAAATGTTAATTATTCCTGCTAGAATTTCCTCTGTCAATTTTTTTTGTAGTCATTTTTAATATAATATTACAAAAATCTAAATGATAAAAACTTACTTTTAATCTCAGATTATTTTTGTTGCCCTTATTCTGCTGGTATTAAAGTTATATGGAGGTCAATGAACAAATTATTGAGATATGTTGACCGGAATGGTTTTTGTTCATATTTTTGAAATTCTGCATTGAATGTCATTCAATTATATGAAATAATACATGACCTTGAAAACATATAATATTTGCTTAATGATGTTTACAAACACTTAGAATTTTAACTTGATGAATGATATCGGCAGAAAAAAATTTAACATAAATGAGAAATTAAATTTAGTCCGAATTTCCACTGCATCGCCATATATTTACATTTGTTTTTGCATATTTTCTTCAATTAATAAAATATTTTATTACATTTTCAGCAGTGAAATACTGTGATTTATTTATTGAATAAAAGTGATATTCTGCCACAGTGTGAAAGGATACCAAATTGCTGTTCTGTCACAGTGTGAAAAGATATCAAAAGAAGTAAAAAAAAAAGTTCCTGGCCTGTCATAAGATAGAGATAGAAACTAAATCATCCTGATAAAGACTAAACTGCCAGATTCTTCCCAAATATGTTGCTAAAATCCATGTAACAATGTTTTCAATCCCTCAAAGTCTAAGCTATGACGTCTCATCCGCTCAACTATGACGTCAGAGCCTATGACACTGTGTGAAGAAGAGACATCAATGAAAATGTAATAAACAGAAAATTCAATGTTTTGTAGTTGGATATGGAATTTATTTCACGAGTGATTCAACGTTTTGTACTTTATAACATTCCGTTTTGTCAACTAAAACCATGAGTAAACGTCATCCTTAAATATACACTTAAAAAGTGAGAATATTTACTTCCGTTATCTGTAATCTGTATTAGTATAACAGGAAAAAGGCAAATCAAGATAAAAATAATTGCTTCTATACCAACAGGTTACAGTGACTTTTAGAGAATGTAGCCATGCCTGTAAGTATTCTAAAGCTTTTAAACGATTAAGTAAAATTTGCCATGAAAAAAAGTAGAGACCGAAGGGCCAAGATAATGTCACCTAGGTTTTTCTTCTTATATTACATTAGGTATTAAATGATGTCCGTAAACTATATTCAAATTTCATTTGCACCCCAGTTTGGAGACGACCAATTGATTATGAAGGGGGGGGGGGGGTCTGGCAGATTTTAGAAAATAAGTAATCTGTCCTTGAAAAAATTGAAAATAAATAATATGTCCTTGACTAGTGCTACTTAACCCCCCCCCCCCTCACCCCAATAGAGTTTTAGAGGTTTTTTAAAATCTGTCCTAGAAAAAGTTGAAGAATTGAAAATAAATGATCAGTCCTTCACTGGCATGAAAATAAATAATCACCCACACCCTACCAAATCGAATGGTCGTTCACCTATCGTAAATTGAAAATCAAAAGTCTACTTTCATTTTTGATAAACAGCCATGAAATAGCAAATGTTGCGGTTGCAGGATCTCTTTCTAAATAACTGGTAATTTTTAATGAAATAGACAGCAAGCAATTAATTAAATTATTTGATAAAGCGTCCTTCTTACATTATTCACTGAAAACTTTATCTAAGTAATAAAGAAGATATGTTATGATTACTGATTATAACAAAATATGCAAATCTTTTCGGCTAGTCTTCAATCTATGCGTCTATGCCTTGATGGAATTTTCTAGAATGTCAGATGGCATCGAACCCGATGTTAAAAGAAAAACGAGGCGATTATGTTTTCGAGGTGAATAATGGTAAAACAAAGTATTTCGTCCTACTTTATGCCTGTATTTAACTATCGAAAGAAACTGTAAGATATATTACTGGAATTATTTTGTCAGCAGTATAATAAATTATAATTATTAGAGCGCCCATCACCAAACCCTCTAACCAAAAGGCCGTGACTTTCACATTTTTTGAAAGAAGCACCCTTGCACATCTTTAACATAGACTTATTTTGCTTTGCTTATTATATTCAACTGCATCTCACCCTTTACCATTTAGTAATCTTGATTAATAATTGAGGCACAATTACATACTTTTAAGCGTCTGCTCTCGAGTCGTGGAGTAAGGAGTTGATCCTTACGTCGCGGGTTCGAATCCCACTGTGGGACGTGGAGATCGGTCCTTCGGATGAGACCATATAAACCGGGGTCCCGTGTCGCAGTAGATGTTGGCACGAAATAAGATCCCTTATTGCTCAATGGCCATGAGTGCCGAGTATAGGTCAAAATTTGCAGCTCTCCACCGGCAAGTGGTGGCATCTCCATATGAGTGAAAAATTCTCGAGAGGGACGTAAAACAACAAACAAACAAAACATACTTTTAATAATTGTTTTTGTTTAGATACTAATTTAAAACTTATTTCCTTGCTCATCTTTTAGCGAATCTCGATGACACCATCACTGATTATGCAGACAACAAATCTAACATTTCTTAAATCGGTTGTTACTCTAATTTCAAAAGAAACAAAATGTGTTTGTGAAACATTGATGCCCCCATATGGCAGCCTATGACAAAGGTTAAAGTTTCTCAAATGAAAGTTAAAAGTTGCACAGAAACCTGTTTTTGCTTTTTTCTTTACTTAGCTAGGCAATGCAATAGGCATATACCCCGTGGAACTTCCGTCAGCCGTGCCATGATTGCAAAAAATTCAAATTGTCTGGAAATATTGTAAAAAAGGTGCATACCTCCAGTGCATCAAATGGTATTAAAAGATGTGTAGACAAACTTGTCGTCATCAATTTGCACGTGTTTAGGCTTTTTACCACTTTCCCTACATTTTCGGACAGACAGTAAAAAAATGTTACCCTGCGTTTCTTTTTTCCTTTCTGTATATATTTTGCAACAGAAAATATTTTTTAAACAGTAATTGATGACATGGAACTTTAAATTTCTTAAAATGTAGGATATCGTAGAAAAATTTACATTTTTTCTTTAGTTCCATGTAAACCATTGATAAAATTGAAATAACACTTTCCTATTAATTGTTCGTGAACAACACGTCATATTGAATCATAATGATTTTTTTAGAGATTGACGTTTTTAATATTAATTTTTATATTCACACATCAAATTCAATTTGTGCTTCAGATCAAAGGACAATTCTTGTAGAGTTTTAAATTGTCCATATTTTAAAAAAGGTCTTTAAAAAGCATTATCCCGCTTTAGTTCCAATTTTTGAAAAAAAATTGATTTGTTTTAATATTTAAACATATTATTCCATATTGGTTGCTGAATAAAACTAACATTAGATAATTTAGTGTACTGGCTCGGAGACAGCAGTATAACCATGATAACCTTTGTTATAAGAAAATGTTCTGAAGTAACATGCATCAAATACACAATAAATCCCAATTTACTTATGACATTAACTGTGTTCCATACTTTTTCAGATTAAACGGGTGTATTAAAACCTAACTTTGAAAGATTTCTTACTCAAATTACATACTCAACATTAAATAAATTGCTTACTGAAGTAATAAATATGTTTTAAGCTCAAATTTCATACAAAGGCATTTAGAAATAAAAGTTGATAAGTTTGGTACAGCAACCACGTGTTTACAGGCATGGCAGTGATGTGTCATCCCAGTTTCCAGAAATGATGCATAAAATGATTTAAAGCATTACATAGAAAACATTATACATATCATATCTTATCTAATCATAGATGCATAAGACAAACAAATTATTACTTACACTGTAGTAGGCCACAATTGCCTCGATAAACAATCAATGAACACAACACAATGGCCGCAGCGCGTAAATACAAGGGCGATAACTCTAACTGAATAATTGACAATTTTACAAAGAACATTAACTCTATACAAAAACCTTAACACTAACACTAGTCAGAACACTCCCCGTCTGATGTTATAAAACATCACTAAACAATAAATCATGAACGACTAGAAAAAATACACTTGCAAATGACTAGAATAATATACAGAACTATGTTTTTGATAAACTTAATGATTATACTCCAGTCCAAACAGAAACTTTCAAGTAATACAACTCATACATATTGAATCAAAACATCTAGTTCAGTTACAGGTCGTAAAATACTGCAAAATGTCCTTCACGATACCCAACACGAACTTCTGCCTTTCGTACCCTTCCATGACACTGGGAAATACTAGTACTTTGATGACTCTACCCATGGGCCACGAGTTACGGGTCACGGAATTATTCTTCAGTAAGATCATATCTCCAACTGATAAGTTGGGTCTTTCCAGCTTCCACTTTCTATAGTTTTGAAATGTTTTGTGGTACTGGGATCTCCATCTCTTCCAAATGGTGTCTGCTAAATATTGCACTCTTCTTCATTGCGAACAAAGGAAATTCTTTCCATCACTAAGTGCGCAATAGATAGTACTGTCTGGTTTGTGAGTGAGAATTAATGAAGGACTCAAAGGATTGATTGATTGTATGTTGTTTTACGTCCCATTCGAGAATTTTTCAGTCATATAGAGACGTCACCATATACCAGTTAAGGACTTCAATTTTTGACCTTTACTCGACACTCAGGGCCATTGAGTAGTGAGGGATCTTTATCGTGCCAACGCCTGCCGTGACATGGGACGTCGGTTTTTAAGGTCTCATCCGAAGGACCCGCAACTTTCACTTCAAAGTGCCGAGTGCATGGCAAAGGAACAGTTGCTACCCATTTCTTATCGACATAGGTCAGTGGCGGCCGAGATTCGAACTCACGACCTCCCGATCACGGAACGACCGCTCTACTGACTGAGCTACCTTGAACGGTAGGACTCAAAGGAAGAGGGTTGTCAGGATCTGTGGACTCAGGTACCAACGGACGGCTATTTACTGTGGCTGATGCCTCCGAGAAAAAAGCAGTAAGTACTTCATGTGTCAGAGTTCCTGGAGGTATGTCTAAAAGCATGGAATCAAGGACACGCCTGGTCACTCCAATAAGACGTCCCCATACATCACCAAAGTGAGAGGAGAGTGTGGTAAGGTTGAACAGCTACACAACTCCACTATTATACAGATATTCCTTCAGAGGTCCATCTTCAACATTCACAGCATTGATCTGAAGGTCATCTGTGGCCCCAACAAAGTTTGTTCCTCTGTCCGAGCGTACCTGTTTCACTTTTTTTCTTATGGCAACAAAGCGTTGAAGGCTTTTATGAATGTCTTCAACAACCTCAATATGCACACCCCTACTAACCAGACATATGAAGAGAATAGCCCATCGCTTAGAGTTAGTAGTGCCACCTCTAGTCTTCCTGGTAACAACTTCCAAGGGGTCGAAAGTATCGATGTAGGTAAATCGTGGACCTGGTTCAAGACGGTCTGGGGGAAAATCAGCCGTCTTCTGACATGCAAACTTTCCACGCAGTTTTCTACATTTAACGCAACTATAGATTATGGCGATACCAACCGCTTGCTACCAGTAATCCAAAATCCAGCACTTCTTATGGCTCCTGAAGTAAAATGTCTTCCCAGATGTTGGACTTTGTCATGGAAATGCCTGACAAGAAGAGTGGCTATGTGACGCTTTCCTTGGACCACAATTGGGTTTATCTCCGATCGTGGCATGTTACTTCTGTTATGGAATCCTCCAACTCTACGAATGCCATCTGGGTCAAGGAAAACATCCAAGGACAGCAAAGAGCTAGAGTCAGGTAACGCTTTAATTTGGTTGAGACTATCATCTTCTGAAAAAAATCTTGTTGAACAGTCCTGACAATGTATCTCTCTGCTTCTTGAAATGCCTCAACATTTCGTGACTTGGTGCAGTAATACCAACCACTACATCCATTCAGTCCAGCAAATGATCTAGTTACATGCCGAAGAAATGCAAACGTACCAACAAGAATTTTCCATGTAGAAATTTGGAGAATCTGTGAGATCCGAGCAATGAAACTGATGAGGTGGTTTTCAGGCAAGTTACTTCAGGCCTTACTTCTCTATCACCATCTGAATTCACCATGTCAAACTCTTGCTGTT